GTGGCAATTGTAGGAGATTTACTGTAAATGAACACAGCAACACTTTTGAAAATATTTTCAATCTGCAAACTTAACATAATTTATGAATATATTCTTTTTTATTTAGGTATTAAAGTTATGTTACAGCACATTGTTTTAAACTTAAAAATCTCTTTTCAGCTTAAGTCAATGTCATATTTCTCAATTATAGGTTAAGTCTTAAGAAAATTAATAGGAAAGTAAATTTGAATCTAAAAAAATTATAACAGATATAATGGTCATGAAAATACTGATAAGTTCAGTGCATATCATAAAGATATACACAATGGACAACAAACACACGATATGTGGTGAATTTAGGTAATAATGGTGTAGCAGACCCTGTAGCATGCAGTGCTGGCCTTGTGCCAGACACTACTCACGACTACCGAATCCACTAACAAAGTAAAAATAATAAATGTGTGATCTTTAGCGAGGAAAAAGGGTCATTCGTCACATGCATAAAAATAGTAAAATATAGATAGCCAGGAGGAAACGACGAAAACGAGTCTGGTGGAAGACAAATATAAAACTTTATTTTAATAACAAATATTTGGTCTCACACAGTGGGAACCATCAGAAAAGCAAAGGCTGTTCTTAGCCAGTGTAGTGTAGTGACAAGTCGGAAGTTAATGTTCCGCGCCAAAACGAAAATTTGAATCTAAAAAAATTATAGTAACAGATATCATAATAATGGTCATGAAAATACTGATAAGTTTAGTGCATATCATAAAGATATATACAATGGACAATAAACACACGATATGTGGTGAATTTAGGTAATAATGGCACGATAAAAATGGCACAAGTGGAAAAATTTTAAAAATTAAGTTTATTGAAATATATGCTAAAGACAAAAATGTTCGTTCTGAATGAAATCCAATTTAAAAAAATATCATATATAACCTTTTATTTATTTTTTAATATTAGTAAAGAAAGTAGAATTGTTTTATCTCCAATTCTTTAATATAAATTTATGTTTAAAATTTATGAAAAACAATTTAACTTTAAATAGCTTAAAATTAAACAGCTACTGGTGTTTAATTTTAAGCTGTTTAAAGAGTCTGTTTTCCACTTGTCCCATTTTTACTAGTGCCATTTAATCATGCCATTATTACCGTTCACTGATATGTGGTATTAGCAACCATTTTTCTTATTCCTTTAAAAAAAAATTTATTATGGAGAGTGAATGATCAAGGGAGGTAATTAATATTGCACAGAATCTCAAAGAATTCCATTGAATGCCAATGATTTTTTTTTTCATACAGGTATTTTCATTATGCATTATTCTATAGACCAGAATATTTATCTTGTCAATATCATCATGGAATATCTCCAGCAAATGAAATGAAATTCTTGATTTTTTTTTATATAAATCATCAAGATATTACCTGCAAAAAGTTTTTGTCATAAAATGCAATAAAAGCATATTTCTAAAAACTGGTCAGTAATTTACAGACAAAAATTCTGGACTGGTTTGTAAAATGTCAGGCATATTACTAGAATACACATAATCCAATAATAGTATACCATCTTTCGATTGACCAATTTGGTAAATGACAAAGAAAATTTCATAGAAATTCAATTTACTGACTGGTCATTATTTTATAATAACAGATATATTTCTAGTTTGTAAAATATCAAAGTTAGGGAAACTCACTAAAAACCCATGAAAAAATATGTTTTTGAATAAAATCTTTATGACACAATTGTCTTTTCATTTTCCCCCTCTAAAAACTGGTCAATGTTTTATTGACCAGAAAGTTCATTTGGTCTGTAAGATGCTACAGGGTGTTTGAAATATTTTTAAACTTGTATTGTTGATTAAAACTGATTTTCATAACCAATTCTCTTTGCTTGGTATGCCTGGAAATCAATTTTTCATAAGAACCTTGTTTTTACAATCTGGTTTGTGAATTATTGCAAATATCTCAAAATCCCCAAAGGAGGTGAGTAAAGTCTTTTGTATTCTGAAATAGGACACAATACTGATTGCATTGAGAACAATATCAAGACCAAAATATCTTTGTCAACATTTAGTTCCTGGTTCAACTCTATATTGATAAGACTAAAAAATAAAATCAACTTCCTATAACTTATAACTATTCCTATAACTATTCGTGCGTCCTGGGTAAGACGTTAAACTACATCCACATCCTGGGTAAGATGTTAAACTACGTCCAGCAGCAAGGCCTCTGATCAGAAGGTTTTGAGGAGCGTGGAACCACCTCTTAATTGCTGGTGTTCCCAGGTCCACCCTGACCCGGGGTGGTAGCACCTGTTAGGGTCCCAGCTATGGGCAAATAGTTAACTATTACTAGCAATACTTTTTTGAAAAAAATTATTACCAGCAATACAATTTTGAAGGAAAATTATTACCAGAAACAGATTTTTGACAAAACAAAATATTACCAGCAATAAAAATTTTTGTTGGCATTAAATAACCCCTTGAGGTTGATATGCCGTTAAACAAAATAAACCAAACTAAACCTATAATTATTCATATCACTTATAACTATTGCTGATTGAGACCTTAAAAATAATATAACTGAAAATATTGAAAGCACAGAGAAATAGCAACAATGAGAACATTAAGACTTGTTGTCACTTGTCCTTCTGAGGCATCCAATGATCAATAAATAAATCTATGGAAGTTTGAAATTTAAATGGATCATCTAGGACTGAAAGATTAGTCTTCGAAAAACTTACAATGTAAATAATGAAAAGAAAATTTATCAGATGATAAAATCATCATTGTTGGGCATTTTGACAGGGCATAATGGTCACCAAGTGTGTCTCGCTAGATCAATTACGACTGAGTGATTTCAATTCTCACTGATTGCTCCATATTTCCAGTCTTGTAACACACCTCATCTATGAAATTTAAATGAATCATCTAGGACTGAAACATTAAATTGCTAAAATTGTCATTGTTTCAACAGATTACGGATTAAATAGATAAAATCATGAGGAAGAAAAATATTTAAACCTTGCAAGAGAACTGAAAAGTTGTCAATTGAAAGTGTCATTTTTGCCCATCATTACTGGCATGCTTGGAAGAGCGGTGGAAAACGAAAATCCAAGGAATGGAATGATACTATCCAGATGACAACATTAATAAAACTAAACCAGAAAGAAAAAAGTGAGGTGATTGGATTGCTGTAGTAGTGGAGAGACTTGCTGTCACTTGATCTCCATTGAAAGTAACCAGTTACAACAAGGGTGAAAATTCAAGGAATATAAAAAGAATAATAAAAAATAACTATTTATGATAACCCAAGACAAAAAAACTCAGACATGGCCATGCAGAGGTCATCTAAAATGTAGGACACATTCAGTTTAAAAATTAAATGTCCTTTTCTTCTTCTTGTTATTACGGAAACAATTCTGGCATTTGTCAATCTTGGAATCATTCTGGGAATTTCAAACTGAACACTTTAATCCACTCAAGTGTAGATTGTTCTTGTTTTGCTGTCAACCTCAAAGGATTATCTTGCCTCATGGGATACTAACTAGATCAGGCCAGCACAATTGAAAAATGATAAGTGCCACATTTTCATAGAAAAAGTTTATCGAGTAAGAATATTGGGAACTAAATGAATTAAGTTCAACCATATGAAAATAAACCTGAAGCTGTCATAGAAATTTTAAAAAAATAATAATAATAGTCCTAGACTTTTGTGATCCAGACAGACAGAGCACAAAATTGAATCCAGTAGTAAATTGACAAACAGGAAAAAAAAACAAAAATGTTTATTCTGTCAAATTCATGGGCATGGTAATTTTGAGTGAAGAAGACCAAGGAAAGCAAAAGAACAAAAAATTACCAAGACTGGTGGGTTGAAACAGGGATAGTTAAGGTCATGCCTAGCTGGTACATTGGAACTGTTCCAGAAACTCGAATTGTAGGATTGGAGGAACAAGATTCAAGGAAAGACTGAATAGTGAACATTGTTCAAATTCAAACCAAACCACTAGGCAGAAAGACTGAACAATGATTATTTTTTTAAAAATGCAATAATTAAAAAAAAAAATTAGTTATAGCAATAATCATAATATAGTACTAAAATAGACAAGAATAAAAACAGTAACAATAGTAAATTTCTGTGAGATACACATGAGGATGGTCGGAGAGCAAAACGGTCGAAAGATTGAAAAAATAATAAAACAGAAAATAAAAAAAAAAACTGTCCGAAAAAGTTTCAGAAAGTAAAGAATAAGACACGTTTTTCTACTCAATGTAAAACAGAAGTAATGTAGATGTTACTAGTACTGATAATAAAAGTGTCGCTAATTAAAAAGTTGTTTTATTGAATTTTATGGTAACAAGCTTCACCGACCCGTCATGTATTTATTTATTGTCATGAACGAGAAGAAGCGCAATATGACGTTTACGCAGATATTAGTGACGTCATGAAAAAATATGCTCTTCGTTGTCGAATCGAAAGCGAGGTCCACTCACTTGCAGTCCTTCGCGGTATCCACACGTGTATCTCTTTTTCTCTCGTCACAGGATCACTGTCTTTTTTTTTTTGTCATTGTAAAAACAAGAAAAAATTCATTTTATTAAGGGGTAATTATTGCTCGCGGAGACAATGTATCGTTGTCTTTTGGGTCCCGAGCGAAGCAGGTTGTTATTAACTAGAGGAATTTCGAATACAGCGCGGTGTATTCGACCTTCGGTTTTAACACCGGTGTCCTCTACCTTGAAATGTAATAATGGAGAAAGTCGTCAACTCCTTTTAAACCATAAAACCCCAGGCAGATTCCAAGAAATCAATACTTCGATAATCCGATGCATGGGACATGGCACCCCTTCACATTGGAAAACCGATAAACAAATAGATGAAGAACAGTTATCTACAATGAATCATTTACCAGTTCCACAAGGATCTTGGCAAGAAACGTACCGTGAAAATCAGAAAAAATACAATGTTTTACTTGCTATTTCATCCTCAGTTTTTACTCTTACATTGTACGCTATGTACAAAACGGGGTGTTTCGATTTCAACTCCGGACCTGTCTACAAAGATGTCGTTATCGATGACCTGATAACAACTGGCGGCGGCGAATCAAATGCGCCGGTCGTCGAAATAAACTTAGATGTGGTTCCGGTCACCGAGGCAGAAGCTGTCGCACCTGTCGTCGAAGAAGAGATCGCTGCGGAAACTGCACCCGAAACAATTGCCCCTGCCGAGGCCCCTGTGGCAGAAGAAGCTGCAGCTGAAGTCCCAGTAGAAGAGCCCATCGTCCTTGCAGCACCAACAGAGGAAACCCCAACTGAGGAACCCGCTACAACACCGTCCGAAGAACCTGTTGCTGCCACTACTGACGAATCTGGGGCAGCCCCTTCACCTCCAAGAGATGAACCACCACCGCCGCCTCCACCTGAGGATACTCCAGCAACGCCGCCTCCACCACCACCCGCAACGGCTGGGGATTCCTCCCCGATTGCACCTGGAGATTCTTCATCAACTGGTGCATCGGTAGCAGAAAAAGATGCCCAAACTGTAGCCATCGATTGGTCCAAGATCCCTGACATCCCAACTCATGTTCCATATTTGTTGGTTGGCGCAGGAACTGCATCATTCGCGGCTTTTAGGTATGCTTTTGGTCCGTTTTTTTGCCTAAATGAAATAATTCCATAAAAAATAATAATTCCTCCTATTTTTATAATTAAAATTTCTTTTTGCAATAACCCCGCTGTCAGTATTAAAAAAACAAAACAAAACAACAACAAAAAACAGTCAGTTAAAAGTTTAGTTACTAGTATATTTATGTCTGACTGTTAGTGTTAGTAACAACAATGACTTGCTGCTCCGAGTGCAACTAATTACATAAAAATTCAACTCTATTTCAATTTGTAAATTCTTTTCGTCGTCTCTTGTCTGACATCCAAGTAATTCCGGACACACTTATTTGGAGAGGGACTTAATTTTTAAAAAAAAAATCACTATCAATAAGTTGCTTAAAATAAATAGACGGCTCTTCATTATTTAAAAAAAAAAAAGAGAGAAAATATTCAATATCTTGAAACTTCGTGGTATTTTTAAGAATCTTCTGCTCTGCTCGTTAATTTAATTCGAAAAGTTTGTGATAAAGTTTTTTTTTCTTCTTAACCATACAAGAACATGTGTGTCACCGTCACGTATGAATAATTATGTAATTACTTTAACTTGCTTTTTCTACCAATAATAGTTTTTTTGTTTTTATCTACTTAACATTTTTAAAATGATTTATTTTAATTTGCATTTGGCTGCATATATTCTCTATTTTTATGATGTAGCTAACTGATAAATATTTTCTTTGTATAGCTCCCAACTTCACGACGAAATGGCATCATTATTTTTTTTGTATTTGATAATTAATTTGAAGAAGCATTTTTACGCAACTATGCTGCATGCATTTAGATAAAACAAGGTCGTTTTTTTTTACAATTTACACATGAACTTTTTTTTTTTTTTTATGACATTGTGTAAAAACGAAAAATTCTTTTTCGCTGCTCTTGTTGCCAACCCCCAAAAACACACACACACTTAGATTCTCGCACCAGGTCATCACGTCTTTCTTTTTTGTTTTTCTTTCTTTCTTTTTTGTACTTGGGTGTACTTAAGTTGGGAAAAACGTGTCAGGAGGTTTCTTTTCGACATTCTGTAAAATCGATTATTGTTCTAATATCACCGCTACACAACGACAAAAGAAAAGTAACCTCTCTTTTTTTTTTTTTTTTTTTTTTTTTAAACTTCTTAATCTCGATTAAGTCTACTAATTAAAATTAGTCCTCCTTATACCCGTTTTATTTCCCAATAACCTTGTCTTTAAAGGTCAGGTTGACTAGTTTTAACTTTTAATAATAGAAAAGAAAAAAAAAAATGAAAATGCTATTTTTGCTAAAACATTTTCAATACATGTACTTGTGGGTTATCTGTCATCTGCACTTCTTAAATTAATTTTCCAACTTTTTCACAAATACAGACGTAAAAAAAATATAGTATCCCAAATATTCATTTAGCAGTTTGAAAATAAAATAAAACATTTTAAATATCACAAAGATCATCAATACATAAGTTTAAAGATGGTGAGTGACAGATAACCTACAATAGACACATTTTAAAAAGCAGTGACAGATAACCCACAAGTACCAAAAAATTGTTTCTTAGTGATTTGGACTATTTTTGTCTAATTTTGGGAAATGGTTACTTTTAAAACCAACTTAAAAATTGTCTGCCACTATTAGGTGACAATATTATTAAAGTTTTATTATTCTGAAGTAGCCTTTCCCCCCATCACCCCCACCCCCACCCCACAAAAAAAAAAACATGATGACCTGGTAACTGGGTATCAGTGTCCCTGACACATACTCTCCTTAGTGTACTAAAAAGAGTAGTCTGGAGTACATCCTGATATCTGCGGCAAAAGTTAGAGCTCCAAGGGAATTATGGTGGGGTGTTCAAAAGATTCAGAAATATCTTGTGCTATGAATTACTTTCTTTGGCTTGACATGTTCAGCAAAATTTTCACTAATCTATCCCTTACCTGAATATATATGTATCATAATATTTCTAGTGCATATTAATGACTGGAATATTATTTTGGAATAGTTGGACACAACTGGTGACTTTTTAAAAAAAAAAAACTCATTGAAAAGAAATTAAGCCTCATGACTGAAGGTTTGAGCGTACTGACCTTGTTCAAATTGTTGATCACACCAAAGTATGTGCTCTCTCTCAGAAACTGTAACTAAGGTCTGCTCAGGATAGTTGCAGTTATAAAGCCACAAGCAAGCTATGTGAGTGTTCATTAGTATAATGGTAATTAATATAAGGCAGTTAAAGTTTAGGAAAATCTAATTTGAATTAAAAATCAATTATTCTATTTGCCTATATTTAATTAATACACACACACACACACACACACATTGTGTTGGCATCTATTGATCTCTGGTGATAAGTGTAGCATAAGAGCTTGGGTGAGGATTATGGTAATCTTGGGCTGTCTATATGTCAAAATACTACAACCCTTCTCAATGTTAGCAGTAGAGTCTAAAGGAAAAGGCAAACCCATACATTTTGGAATTGGTACTGCTACAGTTGTCAGAAGGTAGTGCAGTATGTCATTCAATCACCTTAGAGACTTCACTCCAGAATTTTGTGGAGTTTACTCTTTAGCCTTCTTATCACCTGAAGATTGGCAATGAAAAGGTTTAAATGCAGAGTTTTTCATCTAGACTAGCTCTCAAGGTAAGAGAACCTAGTCTGCTCTACTATTTAACCCATAGCTTTAGAGAAACTGATAATGTTGCAGATTCTTTGATTTTGACAAGAATCTATAGATATAATGTACAAGCACCAGACCAGTTGTGACAGCAATATTCAATGCATATATTAATGGTAGACTTATAAATGTTTAAGATAGATTCTGGTGAAGAAAATTATCTAGAATAATAGTGAATCAAATTTTGTAGCTGCAGACTTAACAATTGATTTGATAAATTAAGTTAATTTAAGTTTCTTCTTTTTTTATCCCAGAACTACACCAAGAATTTTTGTCGTCTTTGACTTCCGGCCATATCTAAAATGTACTTTTTATTATTATCATTATCTTATTAACTTTGATAATGTAAATAAACAAATATTTTTTTAAAGAAATTATTCTATTTTAAAATCTGTCTATATTTCTGAGATAAGGTCTTGTCACTATTTACACTGTTCAGATTTTATCCTCATCTTTATGGCTGTGGTATGCTCTAGCCTTCTTCAGCTGATATATGTTGGAATTTTGAACCAAACTCATTATTTAGTCCACAGGGGTAAATTGTTCTAATTCCACGTACTATGCTTTTTTTGTTAATTCCCTTTAGTAACTCAACTCTCCAAATTTTTGTTCACCTCTGTTGTGGCCAGGTATTGAACTCATAACTCTTTGGGTGAAGTCACTTTTTGGATCATTCAATCAGCACTTCTATCCATGGGTTATATGACATTGGACCAGTGGATAAATGGTGTTTTTAGAAAAGAAAAAAAAAATTCTATTTTGTCTAATTGCTCTCTCTTGTAATGTGCACCATCTCCTTTCAGTCCATGGGTAATTATGGCTCCCCACAACGTCTTGTTGTTGCTCTAAATAACTCTTGTTCCTTTACAGCACCTTTCTTTCTTAGTTACTGGAACAGGTGTTTCCTTCCTCCACTTCCCTTGCTTTCAATTTGCCCTGTGGGTGTTAAATTCTCTATGCTTTCTTTCCTCATGTGTATAAAATTCCAGCTGTCTCTCCTCTTTCTTATCAGCAAATTTCTTTGTAGTCTTATTGTTCTTAGTACTTTCCTGTTTCTTTACATACTCTGTTAATGGTTCTCAACATTTTGTTCATTTCATTGTTAATTCAAGTCTTTTAATCATTTATAGTATATTAGACATTATGTATGCATTCCATCTTACAGTGAACAATTAGTCATACTTTTCCTAAGAGCATTTAGTGAAAAGCATACATGAGAAGCCTCAGTGTGTACACACAAAACAAACAAGGAAGCTACAAGAACATGTTTAAATGCAATGGTTAGGTGCTATATATATATATATATATATATATATAAATAAATGTGCAGCTCATATTTTATATCATGAAGAAACAATTTATACAAAGAAATAATTAGCAATGTTAATGTGATTAATGGTGAAATCACTTTGCTAACAGAACATTAACTTACTATCAATTCCTTGAATAATAAGAGCCTTATATTTGAGTTGTCTGGTGAAAGACACATGCCAAGTACTTTTGACAATTTCAAATTGTCATTTTTAGGGTGCAATTTCCTTGTATATAGGCAAATACTAAGATGCGATATGTGTAGACTGAAAGGTGTGTTTTTTTTTTATTTTTTTTTTTATTGGCGGTTGAATATGTTTTGGAGCATATGATGCCATGACGCTAGAGTTCTTGTTCAAAACAAGTGAGAATTTTGTTTGAAGTTTATATATATATATATATATATAGTGTGTTTAGACACCAATCTTTCATTTATGCACGTTTCATTAAAATCAACAGACAAGGTACTATGATTAAGCTTTTTATTTAATTTTTCTTTTTTGGACAGTGTAGAGCCTGTCCAAATGTTCTATAATTCTGAGCGCTTTTGGCTATACTTTTAGCCATTATCAAGTAAAAGTATAGCCAAAAGCACTCAGAACTATAGAACATTTGGACAATTTCTACGCTCTGTGTCCAAGAAAGAAAACTCTTTTTCAAACACAAGAAAAATTAAATAAAAAACTTAACCATAGTATCTTGTCTGTCGTTTTTAATGAAACACACATATATGATTATTTTTTTATTGATTTCAAAGATTGCATTATAATGTGTGAGGGGTGGGGAATCCTAATATATTTCTTTAAGTCATGGAGATTTTTAAAAGAAACCACCAAACCATATCCTGCTGCAAATTATTTTTTAAATTCTCTGTAAACTTGTGTTTATTAAAGCTTAGCAACAAAACATTTTTTATAACGTTTGTAGGTATTTGGTTATATTTATCAACTTTTCTTACTTTCCCTCCGTATTGCAGACAGTTCCTTTGGTCAAATGGTTAAATACAAAGTGAGATTA